TTCCCCACCACCGCCACAGCACTACAGACCCTACAAATGGACGTCTGGGGCCCCACCCCCGTCCATGGGCCGCGTTGAGAGCGCTACTTCCTAGTGCTTGTCGTCGACTATACGCGCTACACCACAGTGTTTCCACTGGAGCGGAAGGCCGATGTGCCTGGCGTCCTTATCCCGTGGCTTGTCTCTGCGCGTGTCCACCGCGGTCTCCCTATCTTGCGTCTCCACTTCGATCGTGGTGGTGAGTTTGCCTCCGGCGTCCTTCGTAGTTTTTGTCGTGCGGAGGGCATCACCAAGACGTTCACCCTGCCGGACTCCACGCAGCAGAATGGGGTCGCTGAGCGATGCATTGGTTTGGTCATGGAGGTGGCTTGTACCTCCATGATCCATGCCGGTGCACCCCATTTTTTGTGGCCTTTCGGTGTTCGCTACGCCGCTCACCAGCTTAACCTATGGCCGCACCCCAAGCAGCCGCAGGTTTCGTTGACCCTTCTTTGGACCGGGTCTCCTGGTGACGCGTCTGCGTTCCACGTCTGGTGCTGCCTTGCTCACGTCGTGCCTCTAGCACACTGCCCGCACCGTCCCCTGTGTCTTCCTAGGTTTCCCCCTCGACTCGTCTGACTGGCACTTCTACCACCCGCCGTCTCACCGTTTCTTTCACTCCCGCGACGTCACCTTTGACGAGTCCATCTCCTTCTACCACCGCTTTCCCCACCGTGGTCCCCCGGTTACTCCCCCCCTGTTCTTGGTTACCCCTTCCCCGGTCGCCCCTACCCCTCCCCCTCCCCGTCTTACCCTGTCTAGTGTGTCTTACGCCACCCCCCTCCTGTCGGTTGTCCCGGACGAGAAGTCTACCGACTCTGGTGGCCCTGCGGTGCAGTCCTCGCCACCTACCCCTCCCCCAGTTTCTCCTCCTCCACCACCTCAACAGCCGTCGTCGCCCCCGCCGTCGCAGCAGCCGCAGCCATCGTCGCCGCAGCCGTCTTCACAGCTGCCGCAGCAGCCATTTTTACAGCTGCCGCAGCAGCCGTTCGTCGACTCTGGGGGTGCCGGCGTTGAGGTGGGTACTAGTCCTGGGGTTCCTGTCGTGGCTTGTCCCGGCGGGCCTAGGGGTGGTACCGGTGCTGGAGGGGTTTCGGGTTCAAGGGGTGTTCCTTCTAGGAGTGCTGGAGTGGAGTGTTCCGGAGGTAGCCGTGGAGCACCTTGCGGTCCCAGTGTCGGTGTCGTGCCGCCGCAGCAGCAGTCACCGCCGGTGTCAGCCCTTCGCCTGCTCGGACTTCCGTCCCTGACCCCGTGTCTGTGCCTCTCCTGCCGTCTCCTCCTCTTCCTGTCTACGGCCCTGTGTTCCCTCCCCCGGACTCGTCTCCGGCTTGTCTTCCCCCTCGTTCCCCTCTTGTGTCCCCTCCTCTGTCTCCTGACCCGACGCCTCCGTCTCACGTCTGGTCTCGCCGTCCCTCCCGTGCTCGCCCTATCTCCCCTGCCCCGCGCTCTCACCCTACGTTGCTTCGCTCCCACGCATCTCGTCCTCCCCTCCTACCGTCGCCTCCTCCGTCCTCCCTTGTTGTTGCGCCTCCCCCTTTGTCTGACTTCCTTCGTGCCGCTCGTCCCCTCGTTACCGACCCGTCTGTTCCGATCTCGCGTCTTGACACTCTTGTCGCTGTGGTCGTTGACTTCACCTCCACCCGCCGCCTTGACTACGCCACTGCTCTGGTCTCGGACCCTTCCCGTCCTCCGTCCGTCGGGAGTGCTCTTGCCCTCGGCAGTGACGTCCTGGAGGACCGCGAATACGAGCTTGCTTTCCTGTCCGAGGCTGTTCCCCATCTTTGTTCCATGCTGCTAGCCCCTAAGGGTGACCCCAACTCTTTCGATATCCCGACCCCTCGCACTTATGCTGAGGCGACCTCGCGACCTTGGGCCTCTCCGTGGATAGCTGCCATGGAGCAAGAGATGGCATCTTGGAGATCCACCGGCACCTGCCTCGACATAGTTCCTCCTCCTGGGGTGAACGTAGTCGATGGCAGCTAGCTCTTCAAGGTGAATCGCCCCCCTGGAGAGCCGCCTGTGTTCAAGGCGCGCTGCGTGGCTAGAGGCTTCAGTCAGCGTGAGGGGGTGGACTTCTTTCAGACCTTCGCCCCGACCCGAAGATGACTACTCTTCGGGCGCTCCTACACGTAGCAGCACAGCGTGACTACGAGTTACAATCCTTCGAGTTCTCCACTGAGTTTCTTCAAGGCAGCCTACATGAGCAGGTCTACCTGCGCCGCCCTCAGGGCTTCACTGGTACCTTCCCTCCTGGGACCCAGTGGCTCCTGCGGCGCCCAGTCTATGGCTTGCGGCAGGCGCCCCGTGAGTGGCACGACATGCTGCGTGCTACCCTTGCTGACCTGCAGTTCTTTCCGTCGTCTGCAGACCCCTCGCTCTTCGTTCGTGCTGGCCAGACCCCGTTCTACATCCTTGTTTACGTAGACGACCTGGTCTTCACCACTGCAGACACTGACGCGCTGGCCTTTGTGAAGGCAGAGCTACTAAAGAGACACACCTGCACTGGCCTAGGAGAACTGCGCCACTACCTTGGCCTGCAGATCTCCAGGGACAGAGCAGCGCGCACCATCACCCTCACCCAGTCACACTTGGTGCGCCAGGTCCTTCAGAGGTTCAGCCTTCAGTTCTCCTCCGCACAGCCCACACCTCTTCCAGTAGATCACAGACTCTCTGCTCCAGTTCCTGAGGAGTCTGTAGAGCCCAGTGGTCCTTACGCAGAGCTCGTGGGTTGCCTCATGTACCTGATGACTTGCACTCGTCCAGATCTCGCATACCCTCTCAGCATCCTGGCCCGCTTTGTGGCCACAGGCAGACACCGACCTCAGCACTGGTCTGCCGCTAAAAGGGTTTTGCTTTATCTAGCAAGTACATCGGGCATGGGGTTAGTGCTAGGAGGACGCGGGCCAGTGGTTCTTACTGGGCACACAGACTCTTCTTGGGAAGACGACGCTGAGACCCTCAGGTCCTCGCAGGGCTACTGTTTTAGCCTTGGTTCAAGTGCCGTCTCGTGGAGAGCTACTCGCTCCTCGTCTGTTGCCCAGTCCACCTGTGAGGCCGAGATCTACGCCGGTGCCATGGCGGCACAGGAGCTCCGCTGGCTGACCTTCTTGCTCACTGACTTTGGTGAGCGGCCTAGCTCTGCCCTAGTCCTGTACGCTGACAACAGGGCCATGATGCTCCAGTGTCACGAGCCTTGACTTGAGGGCAGAACGAAGCACATCTAGCTGCGATACTTCCTCCTGCGTGAGCTACAGCAGCGTCGCCAGGCTCGCGTAGTACACTTGGCCTCCAGTGCCAACACAGCTGATATCTTTACGAAGGTGCTTGCGCCTAAAGATCATCAGTGGCACTGTGTGCAGCTAGGTCTCAATCCTGTAGCATCTCACTTGCTAGGGCCTTGACTATGTACACACCTTAATATATATTTTACCCTGACTGGCCTTGTGGCCTTCCAGTGGCTGGACTAGTAGTGCTGCCCTGGTCTTGCTCTTGCCTTGGTCTGTACTGGTTGACTGGTCTTTAGACCCTTGCCTTAGAGGTTGGACTAGTAGTGGCGCCCTGAGCTACTTGTTCTCTCGTCAGGAACTGCCCCTATACAGTCTAGGGGGTGTGTCAAACATATCTTAGTATGTTCTTGTAGACTGTATAGGTTTGTGCCTTAGAGGGTACAACTCCTAGGTCATATACCCTTGTACACATGCATTCTACTCATTCTAGCATTCTGATAGGGCGGTGTCTAGAGACCCGCTGGGGTTACCCTTGAGAAGATCCTCGGGGAAGGGCTACAGGTGCAGAGCCTGGGGGTCTATGGGCCAGGGCTCAAAATTGGTTTAGGGGCACCCTTAGTAATCAGTGTACCTAAAAACAATTACCCTGTCTCTAAGGGTAAAATTTTCGTCACCCTTTGAAAATCAGGGTAAATTTGTAAAAAATGATGAGTACCCTTAATGTTCAGGATCTTAAGGGCAGGTCCCAATAGTTCATTTCGGGGTTCGGGACACGATTTTACGAATCCCGGTACAAATTCCTGAAACGATTCCGAATCTGTAAATTCCCGAAATTGTGTCCCTGTTCGCACGTGGCGCACAAGCGGGACACCAATTGTCCACATGTGAAAAAACCGAGCTACGCGGAACGGCCCAAAACGCAGTTACCGAATGTAAGCCTGCGCGAAACATATGTTTCGCACACCGCGCAAAAGACAACAAGACAACAAATGTATTCGCGACGTCGCCTGGTTTTCGCCATCGCCAACGGGGCGATATCCAGGCGCGACACACTTGGAACCCCGTCCCCAAATCTTGCACCTTCCGGCTTTTTTACGTTTGCAATCCGAAATCGGGTACATGGCCCGACGCATGTGAAGGTTGTCCCAGGTTACGTCGATCTTTCAGTCGTTTACTTGTTAAAATCGGGTTACTTTTCACGAAATGAATAGAATATGAACTATTGGGACCCGCCCTAAAATTATCACCCTGTCCACTGCATAGTAACTTATTGTAGTTTTCCAGCTTTCTTTGCGTGTGTGAGGGACATTATCGGTCATTCACTAAAATTACGCAGGAAGTCCGGGGCGAGCAGGAGCACATGTAAGGGCGTGGTACATGGGTTGCGCTTTGTATTGAGACCACAACTCGGGTTGCGCCACTGGCGAAATGACCCAACTAAATTCAGTCCAACCCATCTTTCACACGTCGTGCGAGGTTCAACGCCCTTGGTAACCAGACAGGATTGCGCAACCTCGATTAGTTGCGCAACCCATGTACCGGGCATAACTGCCCCTTTACCAAAATGACGCACGTTTTGTAGTCCGAGGCGCGCTGGAGCAGGTGTGAGAGGCGTGACTGGCCCTTAGCCAAAATCACGCATGCAGTCCGACGCGAGCTGGAGCAGGTGTGAGGGGATTGACTGGCAGGGCTGACGTTTCAAAAAAACCCACTCTGATTTTAGGCCCAAAAAATTTTCCCAAGTCTGAGTAGTCAGGTTTCAGTTTTCCTGGTAGTCTGATTTCTCAGGATCCAGTAACTTTCAAGTCTGATTTCTTCAGGGTTCGCAAGTATGAATCAGAGTCGTGATTTTACCATTTAGTCGCCAATTTTTCATTACATTCGGGCAGTTAACCTACACCTAGTCTAATTTCCTAGCCTAGCTAGAACTCTGGCACATCTACAGCGACGACATCCTCCGCCTCATCATCCGACAGAAAGGGGTTGTCTTCTATAGCTACTGCACCTCCACCATCCCTCTCCCCCTCCTCCTCCTCCTCCTCCTCCTCATCCCAATCCTTTCCTAAGTAGTCTGGCACTGGAGGTTCCTGCTCTGCCTCTTCCAGCAGAGCCTTGCCTTTGCGCTTCCTCTCTTGTGATGCGAACACCACCGACTTCGCTGGTCTTCTCCTTTTTGCGTGCCACAGCTCCAGCGCCTCTTGCCAGTTGATGTCGTATCTCAGCAGCGAAATCATTATCAGCTCACCCAGGCGGGCATTGCACAGAGCACTACGGACCCAAGACTTGATCACGTTCTGCCTGGAAAAACCACGCTCGCACTCCACAGTTGAGAGTGGTAACACCGCGCATGCTTGCCAGAGAAGCATGAGGTTGGGCCAGCGCCTGTTTATGGAACAACCACACACAAGAGGCGTGGAACAATAGAATCAATTATAAACTACAAGCATGGTGGGAAAGGAACAATAGAAGTTGATACAAACATAGACAGTTAGCGTGATCAAACTGGCAAAAACAATCATACACAGGCAGACACAACAGCGTGCTTTGGAGACTCGACTTACCTGCTTGACTCCGTGTTGCCAAGGTAATTCGTGAGGCCCTGGTAGAAGCCCTCCTCGTTGTGGTGGTTCTGCATGATCGGGGCCCAAGTTGCCAGCTCCTTCTCCGCCTCCTTCAAATCGAACTCGGGGAGCTTGTCGTCGAAGATAGCACTGCAGCCATGGAGATACTCTCTCGTCTTCTTCTCCCTCACCATCCGATGCCGCGGCCACTTGCCCGCCCGAAACAGCTTCGTCGGCCCGAGCTTCGACAGGTCGTCCAGCCGCTCCAGCAGGTTCGTCACGCTCCCCCTCGCGAATTTCGCGCATAACAGTTCGCAGTCCCGGTAGTTGCTCTGGTAGACGTGCCCCTTGATCTGCCGCTCGTGCATCTGGTACGTGTGCGTCACCGGCTGCCCGTCCTTGTCGACGCCGCGCACCTTCACTTTCTTCGCCCCCCCTCGCCCGTACACGGTTAAGAAAGCCGAGAGCCACGTGCCGCTTACGCCCGCACCGAAAACCCCGCCGCACTCCAAGTAGCGGTGCCGAAGATCCCCCACCGCCTCGTCGACGTCCTGTGTTATCTCGGTAACATCCACCTGCGGTCGGGCAGGGGGGGGGGGGGGGGTGGGGGTGGTGGAAACATGGGGGCGCAAATCAAGGGGCAGAATGTTAGTGCTGATTGTGAAAGAACATACCACAAGCTCACATGCAAGGGCTCACCTCTCGCTTCTGAAACTTGAGGTTGAGCTCGTTCATGATGGCGAGAACGTCCGCCAGGAAGAAGAGACAAAACTGAAACTTGTATGAGATGACAACCTCGTACAGCTCATGGTTATACTCGTACAGTAAAACGATGGCCGCACCAAGGACCTTACAGAGGCGTCTGACTGCCTCGCCCCTGGACAACCACCGAATCGCGTGGATTCCTTGAACTTCAAGGTTGGTCTTGTGGATGACACGCTGAAGGTACTTGAACCGCTGGCTCCACACGCTTGAACGGCCGAGGAGATCGGCCAGAGATCGGATAACCTTGTCGACCATGTCCAAGTCTGGACAGGCAGACGCGGCGTCCTTCACAGCCAGAGCTTCCCTGCGCACAGTCCATGCAAAAAGATTAGTAAACGAATAAAAGAAAAAAGCGACAACATAACATAACGAGTTTATACCGGTGGGCGATGCAGTGGGACGACACAAGGTGAGGGATGTGCTCGCGGAGCCGCGCCACGAGACCGTTCTCACGACCAACCATGACGGAAGCGCCATCGGTGCTGATTCCCGCGATGCGGTTCAGTTCGATGCCGGCGCCTTGAAGATGAGCGAGAAGCACGGAGAGCAGGGAGGCGGCGTCGCACTTCTCGACGGTGAGCAACGAGAAAAACTCGGTGACGACGCGGCGATGGCGCAGGAACGTGAGGTACACTATCAGGTGCTTCCCTCTAGTACGATCAGTGCTCTCGTCGCAACTGATGCCGATGAACGGGGACGATTGAATGTGCTGCATCTGGGTCCGTTGAAGAAGAGTCGCCAAGCAGTGGACCATCTGTTGAAAGCCGTACTTGCATGCAGAAGAGAGAGTAATTGTTAAAAAATCCAACGGAGAAGACTAATGGAATGTCGTCGCCGGTACTTACCGAGTGAGATAAACACCGTAAGACTGGAGCGGTAGGTCTGGGGTGTCCTGCTCAGCCATAAAGCGACATAGCCGAGGAAACATGCTGATGGGAGCATCGACCTTACAGAGAAACTCAACAGCGCGGAGCAGTCGCACGACCCGCCTCCCCTCGACATCCGACGACAAATAGTCGTCCATCCTCTTCTGCCCATCGGCGATGTCGTCGGCAATCTTCAGCTGGGCATCCACAGCTTCCTTGTGTGCAGAAGAGTGCTCGTGTATGCGCATGGTCTGTGTCTGCAGGTCTCGGCCACCATCGCCCGAAGAGCTGTACTTGGTGGTCTCCTTGCCAAACGTCATGCACACACTGCACTTGAGAGAAGGGTGGCCGTCTTTTGTTTTGGTCAGCACTAGCCATGGAAAGAAAGGCAGCCATGAAGTTTTGTACTTTGCTTCAGCGACGAGGTATTTCTGCTCTATCAATTCCTTCTTACTCAGCTTTGGCGGTGGCGGTTCAACGACGGCAGGGACTGCACTAGGTGATGGCGGCGTGGACGGGCGGCGGAGCCTACCTCCGATCATGATTTGAGACTGGGTGTACTTGCCCGTCCGTTGTTTCTTCGCAGACGAAATCGTGGACGCGCAGGGCACGCTGTAGCGGACAGTGGTGGCGGTGACGCAGTTAACGGGCAGAGTCGGGCCTCTGCTGGACGAGGCGACGGCAGGCGGAGGGACATATGGTGGTGGCACGAAGGGCGCGGACGGGGGTGGGTTTAGAGCAGGCTGGGTTTCCTCCGCTGCGGAGGAAACCACAACAGCAACGACGGGAGGAGAACCTAACGACCGCAGTATGTCTATCGCAGAGCGACGAACCTCTGCAGGCTCGTTACTACGAGGTGGTTCATCGGCGCTGGGCTCATCGTCTTCTTCTGCAGGAGTCCCCGTCATGGCTGTTGACGGGGTCGAAAAACGAGAAGCTACGTGAGGACGAGAACAACGAAACACGAATTGACGAGTAAGATTTACAAACCCCGTGTAAAAGCCTGAGTGCGCCTGAGAGGAGGGGGAGGGATGAGAGGGACGAAGAAGAAGGGCACCATCAAGCCCGAGGCGCGTGTTTCTTGGTTAACTGTCGTCGTCAGCTTCTGGATGGCAGCCCCTTCCAAACCCGCGCCGCCATGCCAAACATGAGCTGACGTTACGAACGAACCATGTGTTGGCATGGACTGTCGCCAATCACCGTCGGTCGGAAAGTTTTGCACATGCCAGCGAGGGCAAGAATCCCGCGTTACCAACCTTTGATGGCTTCCAACACACCCACGTAGAGGTCGCACGCGTGGCAGGAAGCATGACGCGCTGAGCGGCAAAGTCCCTGTTGAGGCAGCATCACAGTCACAGAGGGGGCGAGAATCCTGCCAAGTGCAGATACTTCACGTGAGACGTGCGGGGGTGAAATGATGAAGGCAACATATGACGTAGTAGAGGAAATCTCGTGGAAAGTACAAGGTGCATGGATGTCGCATTCAGAGTCCATACGCGATGTACTCTGAAACCTCAGTATCCGTACAACGACTACTCTGAAAACTTCAGGATCCAAAATCTTACAAGTCTGAAGGGTTCAGTATCCAGAAAAGCCTAAGTCTGAAAAATCAGGATTGGCAAAAAAATGGGTCTGAAATTTCAGACAATCAGACTAAAATAGTCTGATAAAATCAGCCCTGACTGGCCCTTCGACAAAATCAAAGATGCAGTCCGACACGAGCTGGAGCAGGTGTGAGGGGCAAAATCACACATGCGGTGCGACGCCAGCTGAACACAGAAACTTGTCGAATATGCGGGCCGTTCTTCTGTTTCAGTGTGATTTCGGCGATACCCTGTCTGGTCAGTGTAACTAGAAGTACTCTTACTGCAGCGGGGTAAAAACAATCTTATACTTTTCTACTAAGGGTCACGAAAAAAATGCCCTTACAAAATCAGGGTGATCCTGAAAAAGTGGCCGCTGGCAACGGCAATCAGGTGAAACACCCTTCAAATTTGAGGCCTGCTATGGGCGCATTGACCCGCTAGTAAGAAGCCCTTTTAACTCAGTGGTTAATGACTGAGTTATGACAGTCTGATCACGCAAGATCCTGTAACTACAGTAGAGTGTAAGCTGCGCTGGAGTTATACCCTTATGTGAAAAAAGTACAAATATGAGAAATTTTTTTGTAGTAAAAAATTTACAGATTGTGATTCGACTAGAAGAGGAGTTTGCTGTAAAGGAGACAAACTCCTTCATCTATCGGCAGGTCTTTCAGACCTGCCACCTAGTCTCATTTGCATTTTTCTGTTCCAACTTGTATACCACCAGCACACTCTAAACCTCTATGCCCAGATCTGGGCATAGAAGTCTCTTGCTGCAAGACGTTATTTCTGTTAGATACTCTACAATGGTTAGCGGACTCATTTCCGCTGCAAGTGGTAGGCCTCCTGCTCCTCGTGTGAATACTAGGAGTGGTGGAAGGCGTGGGTCCCCTGTACGTGAGGGGGACCGAAACTCTTCATCTCAGCATAGAGAACGATCTCGTTCTCCTCGTCCTGGCGGAGGTAACGGCGCAGTTACCGCTTTGGATTTGCTGAGTGGCGCGCGTCAAGACCCTGTTCAGCACGTCGAAAACGCGGCAGGGGACGCGGATCGTAACACGTCACGCAATCGCAATTTCCCCCCCGGATTTCAAGGCGAGCGGCGTAACGAGCAGAACCGCGTCGACACGAACCCGACTGCCGAAAACGCCCCCTCCCGGCCCCCACCTACCGAACGCAATCATGACGGTCCTGCGCACGAGGACCACAATCATGATCGTGATACTGCGCGCGCAGGGCGTCATCATGAGCGCGATCTCAACGCCCCAGCGCCCCAGATTCGCCAGGATCGCCAGGATCGGGACCGGGATCGCGCAGATCGCCGCACAGATTTTGCTCCTGCCGCAGTGAATCCGCGCGGGATTCCGCAGATCTCGACCCCTGGAGCAGCAGAAATCGCCGAAATGATTGCGCGCCTGGATCCTGCAGCCCAGCGCAATCTCCAGCGAATCTTCACAGGAGCTGCTGGCGAACGCGTTACAGCACGCTCCACTGCATCTACAGCGCCTCATTCTGCAGAACATAATTCTGCTCGCTACACCGACAACAATGTTAACGCCGGCACCAACAACGAGGCCATTCACCACGTTCTTGGTCTTCTCGCGGCGCTCCAGCGTGGCAATGGCGCCGATCCCGCACCGCCACCGGAACCAGCACGCGTCGCAGCGACGGTGGCCCCACGCTCTCGCCTCCCGGCGCCCGCCCCCGAGCCCGTTGACGACGAAATGGACGAGGAAGCACCCCATGCCACGCTCGACGAAGGTAATGCCGCCCGCCCGAAATCCGCTTCTGCATCGCTCACCCTCGCTCCTATTCCACCTGCACGTCCTCAGTTGCGCTCTTCCTTAGTTAAAAGCGATGGAATTCGTACGCAACTTTTTAGTTTTGAGCGCATTCAAGCTATTGCACGTCATGCTATCTCGGTTTTACCACTTGACGGTGGAGAACAAGCCGCCGACTATCTCCAGCAGATAGTAGAGGAGGCGGAAGAGAAGATTCATTTTTTGTTTACCGCCGATCAACGCGGTTTCGAAGTGGCCAATATGGCCCTTAAGATTAAGTATGGGGAAGTGGTAGAGGATAAGAATGTGAAGGCCGCTTCTCAGATTGTAGCGGCCAGCAAGAAGAGGCCCACTCGGCCCACCCATCCCACCTCCCGTCCTGAACCCCCTCTTCGCCCTCGCGGCCAAGGGGAGCGCCTTTGGAACACATGGCGTAGGGACGGCGACGGCCGTTGTTTCTATTGCCGTGAACCCGGGCATGGGATGGCTAATTGCCCCCAAAGGGGCCAAGGGGCCAATCGGCCAGCTAAGATTGTGTAAAGTTTGCTTAACCTCTCCGATGTTGTAGCGTTCTTAATTTAAAAAAAAAAAAAAAAAACACACACACGCACATTTGTGCATTCAAGCAAGATTAATACGCGCGTCATACGGCCACATGGTCTTGCACGTTGGGCCCGTGCAAGAAGACGTGAGCGTGCCCACAAGACGCATACACAATGTGTGTGCGTCCTTTAAAGACTGACGTTGATAAGATTCATCACAAGATTTCTATGTCCATCGCAAAAAAAAAAAAAAAAAAAAAAAAAACCGTATGCTCGCAAAACGATTGCGTAGCATTTGCGCAAATGCTTTGCAAACGTTTTGCGAACATGTGGGTGAACACTCCTGGCGGACTAAGATTAGAACACTTGGCGAATGCTTTGGCAACATTTCCCGAAACACTTTTTGGTTCACGACAAGGAATATATGACGACCAACTACAGCCCAAAATGCCAAGTTCACATTCCCAACCCATAGTTTATCACTTAAGGGATGACGTGGCCGAATAATAGCGAGCAAGCGGGCACCTATATCTAGCGTTTGCCTTCCTTCCAAAAAAAAAAAAAAAAAAAAAAAAAAAAAAATCGTTGCGTTCGGAACTACATGAGGTACCTTCCTGATTCTCTACCGTCCCTATTTGTGTTCCCTCTCCTACCAGAGCTCGGAACCATTTCGGCCTATGCCGATGACGCAACCAAGATTACCCGCATGCAAGGCCGCCTCCGTGACCGCGCTGCATGGTGGTCCGCCTGGTGCGACAGCCGCTTGATTCTATCGGTGATTACATCTGGATATCGCCTACCATGGGTTGCCTCTGAGCCCCCTCCGTCTCGTACTAAGAACCATGCCGGTGCTTTGCAATTCACCTCTTTCGCCGTAGGCGCAGTGGCCGAGCTTCTCGCCACCGGCGCAGCTCGGGTCGTTCCTCCTTCCACAACCCTCACATGCGTTAGCCCCTTAAACGTGATTGTCCAACCCTCAAAAAAGAGACTGATATTGGATTTGCGGCATGTCAACTCATTCCTCTCAGTACCTCGTTTTCGATACGAAGGACTTACTCGCGTTCCTGATTTGGTGCAAGAAGGCGATTGGCTATTCACGATCGATCTCAAATCTGGATACCACCACGTCGACATTCACCCCGCTTTCTGGCAGTTTCTCGGATTCTCCTTGCAAGGGCAGGACTACCAATTCCTCTCTTTGCCTTTCGGGCTGGCTACAGCGCCGTTTGTGTTTACCCAGTTAATTAAGCAACTCGCCAAACGCTGGCGTAGCCGTGGCATCCGCCTTATTCCATACGTCGATGATATCCTATTCATCAGTGCCACTCGAGCGGAGGCTCTTCACAACCGCTCCATAATCATTGCCGACCTCGCAGCCGCGGGCTTTGTTGTGAATTTCAAAAAATCACAACTCGCACCGGCACAATCTTTGAAGTTCTTGGGCCTCTTGCTGGACACGCGCACCACCACTTTCTCGGTCGATGCGGATCGGCGCAACCGGCTTTTTGCCGAGCTGGATGAATTAGGCACACTCGGCACTAACGGGCGTCGCATCCCTGTTCGCCGCGCTGCCCGCATCACCGGCATGTTGGCCTCCATGTCCTTGGCGCTTGGCACTGTCGCGCGCGCTTTCTCCCACCACCTTCTTACGCAGATCGCCGAATGCCACTCATGGGGGGCGGCCATTCTCCTCACCCCTGAGTCTGTTGAAGAACTGCGATTTTGGCTTACACAGTTCGACGTTTTCAACGGCGCCCGCTTCCACAACCCGCATTTGTACGACGTGGTCATGTACGTGGATGCTAGCGACCATGCTTGGGGGGCTTGTTATTCAGCGCCGGATGGTCGTGTCGGCTCGCTCTCCTCCCCGCTGCCTCTAGCCCTCTTGGGCTCGTCCAGTACCCTTCGCGAGCTGGCCGGAATCTTTTGGTCCCTTTCGGCCTTTTCTGTCGAAATCCGACGTTCGCACATCTTGCTCCGCAGCGACAGTCAGGCGGCCTACTACATCCTCCAGAAGGGAGGCTCTCGCCGTCCCGAGCTTACCTTCGTATGCCGCGCGATTATTCAATTGTGCGTGCGCCATATGATCCGTCTTACGGTCCAATGGATTCCCCGTGCGCTGAATACCGAGGCTGACGCTCTGTCCAAGATTGAGCTCCACGACGACTACTCCTTGACACGACCTTGGTTCCGGCTGCTTGAGAGGCATTGGGGGCCTCATACTATCGACTTGTTCGCATCCCCTGCCAATGCGCAGCTCGCTCGTTTCTGCTCCCTCGAGTTCTCACACTCTGCGGTTGCGCAAGACGCTTTTTCTATCAATTGGGGCCACGAGAATTGCTTCGCCTTTCCTCCACCCACCCTCATCCCGGCTGTCCTAGCTCATGCCCGTCGCTCGCGCACTTCTCTCACTCTCGTGATCCCATATTGGCCCAGTGCCTTTTGGTGGCCTTTGCTAAGCTTGGACGGCTCCACTTGGGGCCCGGAGGTCGTTATGGCCCTTCGCCTTACCCTTGGTGCTAGTTGTTTACGCGTTGGCAGTGACCGTCATGCCTTTAGCGGTGCTGGTCTTCCGAACTCTCCGATGTATGCGCTTCGTTTTGCATTCAACTAATGTATCAATTTATTTCACTGCGCAGGCTCATATATTGGTCGATTATTGTCGGACCTTCTCACACTCACCGTTGATCTTCGGGCGAAGTCTACCCTTCGCACTTACGAACCCTACTGGCGACAGTTTCGAGCCTTCTGTTTGGCGCACTCACTTCCCTTCCTTCCCGCCACCGACCTGACAGCGTCCCTCTTTCTGCTGCACTCGGTCCGTCGCGACGCTACTGTCTCAGCTGTGCGCACTGCGTGTTCCGCCATATCCTGCGCCCATTGGCTGGTTGGCCACCCCTCCCCGATTCGCGGCCCCTTTTCTTCGCAAGTCAAGGATTATGCCATGCGTCATTGTGGCAAGCCATCTCAAGCTAAGGAGCCCATTCCTCCAGCCAAGATTTACGATATCTGTGACATCTACTTCTCATCGCATGATCCGGCCACATTCCAGCGGGGCCTTATTCCCCTCCTCATGTTCGCAGCCTTCCTTCGTTTCTCTGATCTCGTCTCCCTCCAGTGGCACCAGATCGAGTTCGATCGGGACTGCATGTGGTTGTTCATCCCTCGTTCGAAGACCGACCAAGCTGGCACCGGTGTTTGGGTCCCAGTGGCTGCTTCTTCTGCCCGCCACTGTCCGGTGTCGCGTGTCCAACAATTCCTCTTCCTGGCTGGCTATTCTCCGCGGACCCTTGGCCCCCTTATTCGTATATTTCAGCCGGGTGCCCGAGCTTCCCCCTCAGATCGCTCTCCCTCGTACGCCGCCATTCGGGGTTGGTGTCGAGATGCTTTCTCCCGTGTAGGCCTTAACCCGGCCCTCCTGGGCACCCATTCTTTCCGCAAGGCGGCTGCGACGGTCGCCGTTGATATTGGAGTCCCCGACCGGCTTTTCAAGGCCCTAGGTCGCTGGCGAAGTGATACAGCCAAGGAGCTTTACATTACTCAGCTTGACCGCGAGCTAGTGGCTGCTTCTCGCGCGCTACAAGATCCTACTCGCTCGAGCGCGACCGATCAATACCAGGCCACCCTCGAGCGCCACCGCCGACGACCTACCACTTGATGTCTCGTTTGACCTATGACGACTGCACTGCACACTCCTCTGAGGTCGTGTCACAATATGAGAAATTTTTTTGTAGTAAAAAATTTACAGATTGTGATTCGACTAGAAGAGGAGTTTGCTGTAAAGGAGACAAACTCCTTCATCTATCGGCAGGTCTTTCAGACCTGCCACCTAGTCTCATTTGCATTTTTCTGTTCCAACTTGCCCACCCTTCCCTCCCATGCTTTGATAACTAGCATGGCCTGCTCACCCTTGTTCCCTTGCCATGTATTTGCCCTATCTAGTGTGCTGTACTATGGAGCTATGATATGCTATGACGACTGCACTGCACACTCCTCTGAGGTCGTGTCACAATATTTAGGACCCTTGTATTACAAAGTAGCTTAAAAATATACCCTTACAGAAAAAGTGGCAGCAAGCGAGTACCCTTACGAGAAAGAGTACTTCTAATCCTATCCAGAGGCCTCCTCCCTGCATCGCTTGATTCACTAGTATTCAATTGCATTGCGAAAATGTTGTCCAAGGGTGCATTGTGCACGACAGAGACATAGAATTTACTCGTACTTGTAAACAGGGTGTCGTGACGTGATTGGAAATCTTATCATTGGCAGCACACCCACTTATCAATCAGAAAGAATCGGAAGCAATGAGGACAAGCAAGGCCGTCCAGCCGGTGAATGGGTGTGCCCCCTTCCCCCTGCCATCCGCCGTGTTATCGTACTGCTCCCACAAATACCCACTCTCCTGGTACCGCCCCACGATGTTCCTGCCAGCACATGGTGGTGGTGCATGGCGGACAGCATGGGGTGGGGAAGGAAGCGGAGCACAAGTACGATGGCAGCAGCGCATGCAGGATGCCAGGGACAGCCATGATCGATTGCAATGAGAGCGGGCAGCTGGTGCTGCAATGGTGGCTCGTGAAGGCACATGGCACAATGTGGTAGCGCACCTGACAAGGTTGAATCTCAGCTGCCGGTGCAGCTCTCCTGCCGTTGAGCTGTGTGGGCCTGACTCTGCGTGTGTGGTGTGGATGCCAGTGTGTGCGTGCGTGTATTCGTGCATGTGTGCGTGCGTGAGTGTGTGTGTGTGTGCGAGCGCGTGTACATGCAGGGACATACATGCACACGTGAGTTGCATGTGCACGTGCAGGGGGGGGGGGGAGGGGTGGTACGGAGGGAGAGGAAAGAGGGACGGAGGGATGGAGTTATGGAGGGAGGGGAAGGAGGGAGGGAGGGGGGGAGGGAGGGAGGGAGATACGGAGGGAGAGGAAGGAGGGAGGGAGGGAGGGAGGTATGTCGTGAGAGGAGGGAGGGATGGGGGGAGGGAGCAAGAGGGAAAGGGGAAGAAGGACAGAATACAACCAGAATCGAAGACGGGGACAAAAATGTGTGTCGGAAGCAGAGGGCAGGACTGGGAATGTTGACGCCACCACGTGGCATAGTGGATAGCATGCAAAAGATGAAGCGCGGGCGGGCTTGCTACCTGAGGAGTAGAAGCGCAGCGCGGAGAGTGCGAGGTAGTTGAGGTTGATCCACACAGGCCCTCGCCAGTACGGCGGGTCGTGCTCCGTGTTGCGCCGCATATACAGCGAACTGGGGGGGGACGGAGTGCAGTGTGAAGATTGGCATGAGCATGGGGACATGAGAGGATGAATGAGAAAGCATGGCTGTGAGCCCAGCCGTGACTTGCACTTCAACCACTGCCACCTAACCACCTGACATGTAACCTTGTGGCAGCCAGCGACCTCACCTGGTGGCAGCCAGCGACCGGAGCCCGTAGTCGGTCCACAGCAGCTTCTCGGAGCGCAGCAGCTCCAGTTGCTGCCCCAACTCATCCGCATGCTGGGGAGGGGGGCAAGACGGGGGCAGGAGCGAGAGGGCGGGACGGGGGCGGAGGGAGAGGGGGGGAGGAGATGATGGCATGAGGGAAGGAAAATGAGCATGGAGGGGAGGAATGGAGGCGTGGAGAGGAGGAATGGAGGCGTGGAGAGGAGGAATGGAGGCGTGGAGAGGAGGAATGGAGGCGTGGAGAGGAGGAATGGAGGCGTGGAGAGGAGGAATGGAGGCGTGGAGAGGAGGAATGGAGGCGTGGAGAGGAGGAGGAACGGAGGCGTGTGGGTGGATGGAATGGAGGTGCATTGATGGATGGGAAGGCTTACAGGCGGGATCAAGCGCAGCAGCAGCGGGAAGAGCGACACGTATCCGAAGTGCGGCACGAATCGGAGTGTGGGAGACCCTCTGACCGCGCGCCGGTGCTCCCTGTGCATGCTGTGCGTCACCGGGTCCACCGTGTCCACCGCCTCCAGCCGCACCTGGTGGGTGGGACGCAGGGAGGGCGACAGGGGGGAGGAGAGAAAGGCAGTAGCGAGCACGACGGTGTGACGTGTCAGCATTCATTGAGGTGGATGGATGCGGGGAGGAGGAAGCCTGGGAGCAGAACATGCAGCCTGTGTGTGCTTGCAGGCAGCATTGCATGGCAAGGGCTGGCCTGTCGCCATCTCACCTGCACTCCTCTCGCCGTCTGAAACATCTCACCCTCCTCTCTTCCCACCCTCCTCTCCTCCCACCCTCCTCTCCTCCCACCTTCCTCTCCTCCCACCCTCCTCTCCTCCCACCCTCCTCTCCTCCCACCCTCCTCTCCTCCCACCCTCCTCTCCTCCCACCCTCCTCTCCTCCCACCCTCCTCTCCTCCCACCCTCCTCTCCTCCCACCCTCCTCTCCTCAGTGTAGCTCCTACCCCGCACAACTCCGCTCCCACCCCGCACAACCCCGCTCCTACCCTACACAACCCCGCTCCACGCTGCACAACCCTGCTCCCACCGTGCACCACTTCGCTCCCACCCCGCACAACCTCGCTTCCACCCTGCACAACCCCGCTCTCACCGCGCACAACTTCGCTCCCACCGTGCACCACCCCGCTCCCACGGCGCCTGTCTGACCTTCTCTGTGTGGTTGCCATAGTCAGCGTAGCGCTGCCTCTTGCCGTCCCAGTGCAGCTGAGGGGCACGAGGAAAGGGGAGGCGTATTGCAGCAAGGGGAGAGTGGGGACGGCAAACAAGAGGGGAGGGAAAATGGGATCAATGAGGGGAGGGAGGGAGGAATGGATAAGGGTGTGTGGGGTGGACACAGCGGGATAAGAGACCTTCTGACTACGAGACTTGCCTCCACTTCCCTCCAGCCTCATCCTCTCACACATTGGCATGCCCTGTAGCTGCCATCCCCATGGCCATGCGTGCCCCCCCCACCAGAAAGTGGGTGCTCTCGCCGGCTTCAAACACCTCTTGGCCACCCACCCGCCCATCCATCCATCTATGCATCCGTGTGCATCCTTCTTTCCTCATCGTACCAGTCATATGAAATGCTGCTTTGCTCACAGGTTACTAGAGAGGGGAGTGCAAGGGGCATGGCTTCCAGGCTACCTCATTGAGGCGGGTGAAGTCCGCGAGGTGCCGTGCCGTGGCCTCGTACTCCTGCACGCACGCACGCAGGGGAAGAGCGACCAACACCGACACAATCCCATGAGTCAACCCACACGAGTTGAGCACAGGTCGGCACAACGCAGGGCACAGAGGCAACACGTGGGTGAGAGGTGGGGGAGCAGCGCCGCATGTGAACCTGAAGGCCTCACGGCATGGCTGTCATGCACGGTGGGCGGGATGGCGCCCACAATGCTCGAACCACCCCATCCACTCACACGCTGCCTCATCTCACCTGCACGCCCTCCCCCACCACCCCTCCAATCTTGGCAATAGCCCCAGCAGCCATGGCCAGCCAGCAGCGCAGGTCCACGTGCCGCTCGTCCGCCGAGGGGTGCGAGGCACGTGGGTAGTCGTCCAACCCCGACTGCAGCGTCTGGCGGGGGAAAGGGGGCAAGGCAGCAGGGGTGGCAGGGGCGTCATGGATGGATGGCAGGGGGAGGGGAGAATCCCAGGGGACTTGCAGGAGGGTGGGTGGGAGGAGGAGTAGAGGAGGAGGAAGAAGGGCATGGTGTCAACAGGAGCAAGCAGCCAGGGCTGCCGAGACTCACTTTGGGGTTCAGCTCGCGCACCGTGTCAGCGTCCCGACCCCGCCAGTAGTAGCTTCCAGGCAGCTTCCCTGATGGGAGGAAGTAGAGGAGAATAGGGGGAGTGATGCATGAGAGAGCTGCCATATGGCAGCCCAACCCACGACCATGTATTTTGCGAGGCTCAAATTTTTGAACCTGAAAGCGGAGCGCAAGGTAAAGGTGAAACGTGAGCCACCTGGGCTGTGGGAGGACAACTCATTATGGTTAACTCCATCGCTGCTCCACACAGAACCTTCGATTGCATGCACGCAGGTCACTCCACCATCCTTTCTAGAGGGACGGTTCTAATAAGTAGGGCAAGTCAAATCCCAGGGAGATTCATTCAGAAGGTGGGAGGCAGCCAAACGGACCAGTGTGGCCCGCATGCACACGCTTCACTCATTTGACCTTGGTTCAAAACCCACCCTGCTATATGCGCACCCGCTTGGCTCGAGTTGAACCAGTGGAACCACGCCTTGAGCCGCGGGAAGCACGCCCGCAGAAACGACAGCCGCTCACACCCCTCTGCCTCCGCTGCCCCTCCTGCAGCCCCCACCCCCTCCATCGGCACAAAGGACCCGTTTGGCAGCCGCCGACACGTTGCAGCACTGCGAGCTGCCAAATCAGCAATCTCTGTAGAGGATGGGTGATAGGGTGCGAAGGAGAAGGACTCAAAGGCAAACATCAACATGGAGACGACGAAGTGGGCAAGCACGGAAGATGGATGGCGCATGTGGGTGGATGTGCCAGTAGGGTGCCCTCGGGACGATGCTGATACGTGCCAGCATGCAGTGCCAATGAAAGGCCGCCTCAGGGGGCAAGATGCCAGGCGCGTGGGAGGAGGAGGGCATAAGAGCAGCACACGCAGAATAGGCAATGAGTTTTGTGAACAGGATGTGTGGTGGGAGATGGACAGTGCCATACGGATACATACGAGGGGAACGGTTAAGGGGGGTGAAGTGAGGTAGAAACGCATACCGGTGAGAGGGAGGAAGAGCGTGGGCGGGTTGCCGTTGGACACGTGCTGCTGAATGAACTCCTCAGGTACCTTGCTGTGATCGTAGGGGGGATCCCGAATCATAAGCACACAGAAATAAAGAGTTAAGGAGAAAACGGAAGTGAGGGCAACAAAATTGGCACGTCATCTTGTCATCCTGGCAGCACGTCATCAAAGGTCCATCTCACAGTGCCCACACAAAACTAGCAGAAATTGCACACTCAAGCATAGTCACAGCGAGCGCTTAAGCATCAAGAGTGCAAAAATGGAGCCCACGGCTCTCAGCAGCAGTGCCAACGCTCCCCACAGCAGCCCTCTCACCTGCGCGCCTCGGCCCCCAGGATCTGCTCTCTGGGGATCCAGCCGTCGGCGTTGAGGAGGTCCAGCCAGTGCCCCAGCGCGTCCATGGACGCCCGCTCGTCCCACCGCCTGCCACGGGCAATGGAAGGCGCACACGCGCAGTGGAAGGGTGGAACATCCCTGGGCATGAGAAGATCCTTCAAGGCATAGGGCATGGGTTATGCGAATGCCACCTGAGAATTACCTGACGCCACCTGAGGGGCACCTGAGCGTCACCTGAGCACGAGCTGGTGGAAGCCCTCGTCCCAAAGGAAGCCCCGCGGGAACACAGGGCGGCTGGGCGTTGCCGTGAACAGTGCTGCCGGCCAGTACTGCCAGTAGGGCAGGGGGTCGCCTGGGGTCTGGGGAACAAGGGGGTGTGAGGAATGGGGAGACGAATCGGAGAGATGTTGGGCGAGGAAGCAGCAAGAGGGCCCAGGCAACCGCAGTGGTGGGGCAGACATGACGAACGAGGGGGCGAACGAGGAATGAGCAGATGAGGGAAACATGAGTTTGTGACATGAGTAGGTGAGAGGGCGTGAGAGATGGGATGGGTGCAGACGAGACCAGCTGTATGTCGCAAGTAAATGCCACTCTTGTGTTGACGCTGCGCTGGTTATGGCTGCAAGTTAGGACACGTGCAAAAATGCACAAGATTCATGGCTGAGAGACTCGTAGGCATCTCCCCTTACAATGCGAAATCATTTGAGTCCTTTTGAGAAGTACCTTGAGATGTGGAGGGATGGCGATACGCGATTGGCCGTAGAAATATCCCATACCCCCTACAAGGCTGCTCAGTGACGCCTTCACGGCATCGCCCACGCCTGGAATCTTCTCTGCCAGCTGCACGGGCAGGACCAAGAGGTGTGACAGAGAACAAAGTGGCGGTCAGAGCTTTCATGCGCTCACTACGCAAGAGGAGCAGCGACTGGCTTCCAGAGCCGCCGGTGGTGATGCTATGCCACGATGAGCATGGCACGATGAGCATGCCACAATCAGCATGCCCCATGCTATGCCGCGATCAGCATGCCCCATGCCATGCCGCGATCAGCATGCCCCATGCTATGCCACGACCAGCATGCCCCATGCCATGCCGCGATCAGCATGCCCCATGCTATGCCGCGATCAGCATGCCCCATGCTATGCCGCGATCAGCATGCCCCCATGCTATTCCGCGATCAGCATGCCCCATGCGATTCCGCGATCAGCATGCCCCATGCCATGCCGCGATCAGCATGCCCCATGCCATGCCGCGATCAGCATGCCCCATGCTATGCCGCGATCAGCATGCCCCATGCTATGCCGCGATCAGCATGCCCCATGCTATGCCGCGATCAGCATGCCCCATGCTATTCCGCGATCAGCATGCCCCATGCCATGCCGCGATCAGCATGCCCCATGCCATGCCGCGATCAGCGTGCCCCATGCTATGCCGCGATCAGCGTGCCCCATGCCATGCCGCGATCAGCATGCCCCATGCCATGCCGCGATCAGCATGCCCCATGCTATGCCGCGATCAGCATGCCCCATGCTATGCCGCGATCAGCATGCCCCATGCCATGCCGCGATCAGCATGCCCCATGCCATGCCGCGATCAGCATGCCCCATGCTATGCTGCGATCAGCATGCCCCATGCTATGCCGCGATCAGCATGCCCCATGCTATGCCGCGATCAGCATGCCCCATGCTATGCGACGATCAGCATGCCCCATGCCATGCCGCGATCAGCATGCCCCATGCTATGCCGCGATCAGCATGCCCCATGCTATGCCGCGATCAGCATGCCCCATGCCATGCCGCGATCAGCATGCCCCATGCTTTGCCGCGATCAGCATGCCCCATGCCATGCCGCGATCAGCATGCCCCATGCTATGCCGCGATCAGCATGCCTCATGCTATGCAGCGATCAGCATGCCCCATGCTATGCCGCGATCAGCATGCCCCATGCTATGCCACGATCAGCATGCCGCATGCCATGCCGCGATCAGAATGCCCCATGCTATGCCGCGATCAGCATGCCCCATGCTATGCCGCGATCAGCATGCCCCATGGGGCCAGTCCGCCCTGCTTCTCCGCATCGGGGCGTGGCCCTTGGCCTCCAACAACCATCCCACTGCCTCACGCCCCTGTGTATCTCTTCCCTCATTCACACCCCACCTGCCCAATCCCCCCCTGCACCCCGCCACCCCCCCTCAACCCCCCACTGTCCCCCCCCCCACCTCGGAGGCCACGGGGAAGGCGGCCTGCATGCGGCGCTCCACCGCCGCCTCTGCCTCCGCCACGCGCCGCGCCAAGGCCCGGCCTGGCAGCAGTGGCAGGGGGGGACGGGGAAAAGGGGGGGGGCGGGGACAGGGGAAGACAAGTGCGAGGAGAGGGATGGGGATGTGACAGGGGGCTTGAGCTTGTCCCTCTCGCAACAGTAGCCAGGGGCTGCAGGGATTGCATGAGGCTGCTATCTCTGTTAGTGTGCGAGCGGGATTGTGTGTGTGGGATAGTGTGTGCGTGCGCACGCGTGTGTGTGTGTGTGTGTGTGTGTGTGTGTGTGTGTTTATGTGCGTGTTTGTGTACTGAACCCACCACTCCATTTGAATGCAAGGACTGTTAGAGCGAGCGGCACCTGAGAGGAGGTTGAGGCGAGAGGCGGATTCTGGAGAGGGCGAGTGCGGCGGGGAGAAGGCGGCAAGGCCCGAGAGGAACACAAAGTCCACCACGGAGGGCAGAAACGTGGTGAGCTGAGGGGCGTGGGATGGACGAGTGAGGGGCGGGGATGGATGAGTGAGGGACGAGGTTGGGAGGAGAGGGGGGTGGGGACGAGGTGGTGAGAGAAGGCAGACACGACAGAGACGCACACGCATGGCAAGCACTCAGAAGCGCACGCAGTGACGACAGTATAGGGAGGTGGAGCAGTGGAGTGGGGGTGGAGCAGTGGAGACTCGACCTCACCACCACACCTGGATGACACCCGCACCTAGACGACACCCTCACCCGGATGACACCCTCACCTGGATGACTGCAACATTGGCGCCCGCCTGTGCCTTGTTGCCCAGCGTCGGCTGCTGAGTGGCTTGGTACTGCGGGAGGGGGGGGAGGGGCAGAGAGGCGAGCTTTGGTGGGGTGGAGGAGGGGTTGGGAGGGAATAGGGGAAGCAATTGAGTGGTAGGGGGGGTTGGGGAAAGACAGAGAATTTGAAATGATGATATGCGTGCATCCACAGGTGTCATGCACAGGTGTCATGCACAGGTGTTCTGCACAGTGACTAGTGCACGGGTGATGGCAGCAGCAGACGGATGGCATGGTGTGACCCCGTGCTGCCTGTGCGACCCACATTGTGGATCATGGCGGCCCTGACGGCGTCCGACAGGTTGTGCAGATGTCGGGTGTGGAACGCCTCGTATGCGGCCCCCGGACCCTCCGCCTGGTGTACAAGGCAGGAGGGGTGGAGAGGGTGCGGAAGGTGTCGGGGAATCAAGAGTTGGAGGCACGAACGGGGCATGCACCATAGCCATGGCGGATTCTGCCTGCTGTGTGCATCCCTCGTAGCGATACTCTTTCGGCCATCCATGGCGCCTTTGACCTCTCCTTACAAGCACCTGCACCACCTGTGCTCACTGCAAGCCATACCTGCGCCACTGCAGGCCATACCTGCGCCACTGCATGCCATACCTGCGCCACTGCATGCCATACCTGCGCCACTGCATGCCATACCTGCGCCACTGCTTGCCGTACCTGCGCCACTGCTTGCCGTACCTGCGCCACTGCATGCCCTACCTGCGCCACTGCATGCCCTACCTGCGTCACTGCATGCCATACCTGCGCCACTGCATGCCATACCTGCGCCACTGCATGCCAAACCTGCGCCACTGCATGCCATACCTGCGCCACTGCATGCCATACCTGCGCCACTGCATGCAGCTCCCACCGCCCAAACACATCCGACACCCCGCTTGCCACCACAGCCGACCGCTGCCCCTCATGCCCCTCATGCCCATCCGCCTCCTCCGCCTCGCCCCCCTCGCCCATCAACGCCCTCCCCCTCCTTGTGTCCCCCCTCCCACTCCCTTGCCTCCCCCCACCATCCTCAACACTCCTCAACCTTCTCCGTCCCCCGACCTCCTCTTCCTCCTCCTCCTCCTCGTCTTCTCCCTCCTCCTTTATGCCTCCCCTCATCCACTCCTCCTCACCCTCCTCCCCTCCTCTCCCCCCACTGCCACGCGCCCCCTCTCCCTCGATCGCCTGTGCTGCGTCCAGCGGTTGCTGCACGAGGCGGGCCACCTCCTCCACTGCAGGCACATCGTGCAGCGGGGCACCGCTCTCGTCCGCCACGTAGAAGAAGAATGTGCTGGGGAGGGCGGACAGGGGGGCGGACAGGGGGGCGGACGGGGGGGCGGACAGGGGGGCGGACAGGGGGGCGGACAGGGGGGCGGACAGGGGGCCGGACAGGGGGGCGGACAGGGGGGCGGACAGGGAGGCGGACAGGGGGGCGGACAGGGGGGCGGACAGGGGGCCGAAAAGGTGGGGACGCAGGGGAAGGGGAGGAACGAGGTGCGGCGGCGATTGAGCCAGCGTGAGTCAAACAGAACGCAGGAAGGCGCTGGTGGCATGAAAGAGGTGAGAGGAGAAGGTGCGGACGGGGTGCCAGGGGCATTGGCAACACGGCGCGAGCGAGCACCTCAAATGGGCTCACCAAGGGCAGTGACTGGCGTTGACTCACACAGGCAGAGACTGGCGTTGACTCACAAGGGCAGTGAATGGCATTGATGCACACGGGCTGTGACTGGCGTTGACTCACAAGGGCAGTGACTGGGCGTTGACCGCGCCTCCCGCCCTCTCTCTGTTGATGTCCACGGCGACGCGCACTGCCCAGTCGCCACCATACCCCGTGCTGCCGTTGAACGACTTGAGGAAGTGCGTGCTCATGTCAAACGGGCCGTCCCTCACCTCCTGCGCACGGATGATAACATGTGCTGAAGCATTGCCATGTGCTGAAGCATCGCCATGTGCTGAAGCATCGCCATGTGCTGAAGCATCGCCATGTGCTGAAGCATCGCCATGTGCTGAAGCATCGCCATGTGCTGAAGCATTGCCATGTGCTGAAGCATCGCCATGTGCTGAAGCATCGCCGGGCCCTGCGGCTTCCTCCATGCCCTAGGGCACAACTACGAGCTCTCAATACAACTAGCAGCCTTTCCCCCCACTCCGAGTGCCTCACTGCCCTCTCGCCACCTCTCCCTCCCCTCCCCTTCCCTCCCCCCCAACCCTCCCCTATACCTGGCGGGCGTAGGTGCGGCCATCGTGGCGCAGCCAGCCGTACGTGTGCAGCACGGGGTCGTGCTGCTCGCACATGTGGCGGATCACAAAGTCGTCCTGCCGTGGCGCCCACCACATGGCGCCCGCCACCACTGACCGCGGCAAGCTGGGGGTGGGGAAGGGGAGAGCGGGCGAGGAACCGAAGAAGAGAGTTTCAAGGCAAGACTGGGCCATGACGGGGAGATGCAAGGAGGCAGCAGAGGAAACAGTGCAGGTACTGGAGAGAAAAGAGATGGTGACTCATGGCGAGGGAAGGAAAGGGAGGACAGGGAAACGTGGATGGAGAGAGCGAGATTGAAGGGACTGTGGCGGAACGGCAGCATGTAGCCATAAGGGTGGGATTGAAGGGACTGTGGCGGAACGGCAGCATGTAGCCATAAGGGTGGGATTGAAGGGACTGTGGCGGAACGGCAGCATGTAGCCATAAGGGTGGGATTGAAGGGACTGTGGCGGAACGGCAGCATGTAGCCATAAGGGTGGGATTGAAGGGACTGTGGCGGAACGGCAGCATGTAGCCATAAGGGTGGGATTGAAGGGACTGTGGCGGAACGGCAGCATGTAGCCATAAGGGTGGGATTGAAGGGACTGTGGCGGAACGGCAGCATGTAGCCATAAGGGTGGGATTGAAGGGACTGTGGCGGAACGGCAGCATGTAGCCATAAGGGTGGGATTGAAGGGACTGTGGCGGAACGGCAGCATGTAGCCATAAGGGTGGGATTGAAGGGACTGTGGCGGAACGGCAGCATGTAGCCATAAGGGTGGGATTGAAGGGACTGTGGCGGAACGGCAGCATGGGGACGGCGACGTGGAGGTAGGCAGCAGCAGCGAGCAGAGCAGCAGAGCAGGCATGACGCGTCATGCGCTCCGCAACATCATCTACGTCGGTACTTGTGTCCAACCTGCCAACTGTGCCCCTCAGTACCGCCACCCGTCCCAGCACAGCAGCCTACCGTGGGCGGATGCCGAGGTAGAGGTGGGGGCGGTACGTTCCCCATAGCATCTTCTCGCCGTAGTCGCCCTTGAACTGCCAGCACGCACATGCCATGCCATGCCATGCCATTCCATGTCATACCGTGCCATGCCATGACATGACGGGACATCATGCAAGGTCATGCCATGTCATGCAATGCCATGCCACCCCACGGCGATACACATTTTCATGGGTCATGGGTCATGGGTCACGCCACATCGTCCAACGCGTCTCTGCATTGAATCCGCATGGCAGCACCATGCGCCGGTTGCAAGCCACCGTGCGGCGACGCACAGCATGCACGGCGAGCACCAGTCACAAGGCACCATGGACCATGCACACTGCTATAGAGTGCCCCATATGACCGTTGGCAAAGGAGGAGGGACGCCCTTTGAGAGACCTCTCTCCAATCCACTGGCCTGCTGCCGCTGCTCGCATTCCGCTCCCCATGGCAATGCTGCGATGCTCACCAGATTCGAATCCAACCGTCAGGATCTCACCATCGGCAGATCCGACACGCGCGGCGCTTTCAGCGACGTCAGATGGCGCTGCTTCTCGGACCGCGCATCGGAGCCCCCGAGGAGCGCCTCGCCCCACATCAGCACGACGATCAGCGCCGCCACGCATCCCGCGGCTAGCAACAGCGCAAGAACCGCCGCATTCCATGCCGGATTCGCAGGGGCAGCCTTCCCTCGGTGCGGGTGGTGCGGCGCCCTGTGCGCCTGCGCGCGCTTGCCCTTCGCGCCCCCGTCAGCGCGCGGGGAGGAGGAATCGTCGACTCCGCTCCCGCCCCCCCGGCGTCGCGCGGGAGGAGGCATTGCGGAGGACGCGCGGCAATAAGGGTGGACTTGGGAGGACTCGGGTTCTGAGGCGCGTGGACGCATGGGCTGGCGACTGGAATCTGGATGTTGGATGGGGATCGTGAATTGATAGAGTTAGCTCTTTGAACGCAAAAAATACAAATGTAGTGTATATCCAGGGAATATGCTTCTTCCCCACTCTATTCACATAAATCTGGAAATATGGGACTACCTAAAAAAAACCAAAACTCAAGCATATTACATAAATAGCATACTGCATAAATATGCTATGATGATCGAAGGAAGCAGTCATCATGTAAACCAAAACTCCTTGAAATGACCTTTTTCACATCTTATTGCATATGCAACCATGTGGGCAGAACTTTCTATCAGTTTCTTTGGAGGTATCTTTTTTAATAAAAAGAATACAACAAGAATGATATGAAATGAGACACATGGGGGGCAGATAAAGCCATGATGGTGTTAGAGAGCTAGGTAGCTAGGAACAGTAGAGGCCATGGAATGGCATGAGGGTTTAGCTAGGAGAGGAAGTTGACGAGAGAAAAGAGAGGTCGAGAATAGAAGAGAGAGGGATACAAGGAGGGGGGTTGTACCCCAGGGCTGACGTTTCAAAAAAACCCACTCTGATTTTAGGCCCAAAAAATTTTCCCAAGTCTGAGTAGTCAGGTTTCAGTTTTCCTGGTAGTCTGATTTCTCAGGATCCAGTAACTTTCAAGTCTGATTTCTTCAGGGTTCGCAAGTATGAATCAGAGTCGTGATTTTACCATTTAGTCGCCAATTTTTCATTACATTCGGGCAGTTAACCTACACCTAGTCTAATTTCCTAGCCTAGCTAGAACTCTGGCACATCTACAGCGACGACATCCTCCGCCTCATCATCCGACAGAAAGGGGTTGTCTTCTATAGCTACTGCACCTCCACCATCCCTCTCCCCCTCCTCCTCCTCCTCCTCCTCATCCCAATCCTTTCCTAAGTAGTCTGGCACTGGAGGTTCCTGCTCTGCCTCTTCCAGCAGAGCCTTGCCTTTGCGCTTCCTCTCTTGTGATGCGAACACCACCGACTTCGCTGGTCTTCTCCTTTTTGCGTGCCACAGCTCCAGCGCCTCTTGCCAGTTGATGTCGTATCTCAGCAGCGAAATCATCATCAGCTCACCCAGGCGGGCATTGCACAGAGCACTACGGACCCAAGACTTGATCACGTTCTGCCTGGAAAAACCACGCTCGCACTCCACAGTTGAGAGTGGTAACACCGCGCATGCTTGCCAGAGAAGCATGAGGTTGGGCCAGCGCCTGTTTATGGAACAACCACACACAAGAGGCGTGGAACAATAGAATCAATTATAAACTACAAGCATGGTGGGAAAGGAACAATAGAAGTTGATACAAACATAGACAGTTAGCGTGATCAAACTGGCAAAAACAATCATACACAGGCAGACACAACAGCGTGCTTTGGAGACTCGACTTACCTGCTTGACTCCGTGTTGCCAAGGTAATTCGTGAGGCCCTGGTAGAAGCCCTCCTCGTTGTGGTGGTTCTGCATGATCGGGGCCCAAGTTGCCAGCTCCTTCTCCGCCTCCTTCAAATCGAACTCGGGGAGCTTGTCGTCGAAGATAGCACTGCAGCCATGGAGATACTCTCTCGTCTTCTTCTCCCTCACCATCCGATGCCGCGGCCACTTGCCCGCCCGAAACAGCTTCGTCGGCCCGAGCTTCGACAGGTCGTCCAGCCGCTCCAGCAGGTTCGTCACGCTCCCCCTCGCGAATTTCGCGCATAACAGTTCGCAGTCCCGGTAGTTGCTCTGGTAGACGTGCCCCTTGATCTGCCGCTCGTGCATCTGGTACGTGTGCGTCACCGGCTGCCCGTCCTTGTCGACGCCGCGCACCTTCACTTTCTTCGCCCCCCCTCGCCCGTACACGGTTAAGAAAGCCGAGAGCCACGTGCCGCTTACGCCCGCACCGAAAACCCCGCCGCACTCCAAGTAGCGGTGCCGAAGATCCCCCACCGCCTCGTCGACGTCCTGTGTTATCTCGGTAACATCCACCTGCGGTCGGGCAGGGGGGGGGGGGGGGGTGGGGGTGGTGGAAACATGGGGGCGCAAATCAAGGGGCAGAATGTTAGTGCTGATTGTGAAAGAACATACCACAAGCTCACATGCAAGGGCTCACCTCTCGCTTCTGAAACTTGAGGTTGAGCTCGTTCATGATGGCGAGAACGTCCGCCAGGAAGAAGAGACAAAACTGAAACTTGTATGAGATGACAACCTCGTACAGCTCATGGTTATACTCGTACAGTAAAACGATGGCCGCACCAAGGACCTTACAGAGGCGTCTGACTGCCTCGCCCCTGGACAACCACCGAATCGCGTGGATTCCTTGAACTTCAAGGTTGGTCTTGTGGATGACACGCTGAAGGTACTTGAACCGCTGGCTCCACACGCTTGAACGGCCGAGGAGATCGGCCAGAGATCGGATAACCTTGTCGACCATGTCCAAGTCTGGACAGGCAGACGCGGCGTCCTTCACAGCCAGAGCTTCCCTGCGCACAGTCCATGCAAAAAGATTAGTAAACGAATAAAAGAAAAAAGCGACAACATAACATAACGAGTTTATACCGGTGGGCGATGCAGTGGGACGACACAAGGTGAGGGATGTGCTCGCGGAGCCGCGCCACGAGACCGTTCTCACGACCAACCATGACGGAAGCGCCATCGGTGCTGATTCCCGCGATGCGGTTCAGTTCGATGCCGGCGCCTTGAAGATGAGCGAGAAGCACGGAGAGCAGGGAGGCGGCGTCGCACTTCTCGACGGTGAGCAACGAGAAAAACTCGGTGACGACGCGGCGATGGCGCAGGAACGTGAGGTACACTATCAGGTGCTTCCCTCTAGTACGATCAGTGCTCTCGTCGCAACTGATGCCGATGAACGGGGACGATTGAATGTGCTGCATCTGGGTCCGTTGAAGAAGAGTCGCCAAGCAGTGGACCATCTGTTGAAAGCCGTACTTGCATGCAGAAGAGAGAGTAATTGTTAAAAAATCCAACGGAGAAGACTAATGGAATGTCGTCGCCGGTACTTACCGAGTGAGATAAACACCGTAAGACTGGAGCGGTAGGTCTGGGGTGTCCTGCTCAGCCATAAAGCGACATAGCCGAGGAAACATGCTGATGGGAGCATCGACCTTACAGAGAAACTCAACAGCGCGGAGCAGTCGCACGACCCGCCTCCCCTCGACATCCGACGACAAATAGTCGTCCATCCTCTTCTGCCCATCGGCGATGTCGTCGGCAATCTTCAGCTGGGCATCCACAGCTTCCTTGTGTGCAGAAGAGTGCTCGTGTATGCGCATGGTCTGTGTCTGCAGGTCTCGGCCACCATCGCCCGAAGAGCTGTACTTGGTGGTCTCCTTGCCAAACGTCATGCACACACTGCACTTGAGAGAAGGGTGGCCGTCTTTTGTTTTGGTCAGCACTAGCCATGGAAAGAAAGGCAGCCATGAAGTTTTGTACTTTGCTTCAGCGACGAGGTATTTCTGCTCTATCAATTCCTTCTTACTCAGCTTTGGCGGTGGCGGTTCAACGACGGCAGGGACTGCACTAGGTGATGGCGGCGTGGACGGGCGGCGGAGCCTACCTCCGATCATGATTTGAGACTGGGTGTACTTGCCCGTCCGTTGTTTCTTCGCAGACGAAATCGTGGACGCGCAGGGCACGCTGTAGCGGACAGTGGTGGCGGTGACGCAGTTAACGGGCAGAGTCGGGCCTCTGCTGGACGAGGCGACGGCAGGCGGAGGGACATATGGTGGTGGCACGAAGGGCGCGGACGGGGGTGGGTTTAGAGCAGGCTGGGTTTCCTCCGCTGCGGAGGAAACCACAACAGCAACGACGGGAGGAGAACCTAACGACCGCAGTATGTCTATCGCAGAGCGACGAACCTCTGCAGGCTCGTTACTACGAGGTGGTTCATCGGCGCTGGGCTCATCGTCTTCTTCTGCAGGAGTCCCCGTCATGGCTGTTGACGGGGTCGAAAAACGAGAAGCTACGTGAGGACGAGAACAACGAAACACGAATTGACGAGTAAGATTTACAAACCCCGTGTAAAAGCCTGAGTGCGCCTGAGAGGAGGGGGAGGGATGAGAGGGACGAAGAAGAAGGGCACCATCAAGCCCGAGGCGCGTGTTTCTTGGTTAACTGTCGTCGTCAGCTTCTGGATGGCAGCCCCTTCCAAACCCGCGCCGCCATGCCAAACATGAGCTGACGTTACGAACGAACCATGTGTTGGCATGGACTGTCGCCAATCACCGTCGGTCGGAAAGTTTTGCACATGCCAGCGAGGGCAAGAATCCCGCGTTACCAACCTTTGATGGCTTCCAACACACCCACGTAGAGGTCGCACGCGTGGCAGGAAGCATGACGCGCTGAGCGGCAAAGTCCCTGTTGAGGCAGCATCACAGTCACAGAGGGGGCGAGAATCCTGCCAAGTGCAGATACTTCACGTGAGACGTGCGGGGGTGAAATGATGAAGGCAACATATGACGTAGTAGAGGAAATCTCGTGGAAAGTACAAGGTGCATGGATGTCGCATTCAGAGTCCATACGCGATGTACTCTGAAACCTCAGTATCCGTACAACGACTACTCTGAAAACTTCAGGATCCAAAATCTTACAAGTCTGAAGGGTTCAGTATCCAGAAAAGCCTAAGTCTGAAAAATCAGGATTGGCAAAAAAATGGGTCTGAAATTTCAGACAATCAGACTAAAATAGTCTGATAAAATCAGCCCTGTTGTACCCTCTACAGTAGGTTTCAGTAATACCTACCAAGCTTACCAATTATATAACAAAGATATAATTTAACACACCCCCTAGGCTTGGTAGTAGAAGAACCCACACACACCCATGTCAAACATAACTTAGGTTGTTATTGTAGACTATACAGGTTTGTGCCTTAGAGGGTACAATACACTAGTCTATATTGCCCTGTATCCTCCTATTCTAGTCATTCTCTTATTCTGACATGGTATCATAAGTAGGTTAGGTCCATCTAGCTCGCCCGCGCTTCCGCCCTAGGCCCTAGCCGCCCTCG